CGATGTAGAGTCCTCATCTCCCGTGGTACAGCTTGAATTCTTGAGTGGTACTGTCTGCTTCAAGATGAATACTCTTCGACATCAGCTGGCTGACGCTCAGTGAGTTGTAGCCGAGTCCCTCCGCGATTAGAACCTTTGACATCTGTAGTACGACGTTTGTTTCCCTTGAGTGAAGGTGAACTATGCCTTGTCGTCTTGTTCGCAGGTTTTGATTGTTGGCGACTATGATGACTACTTCACGTTGAAGCTGGTGTTCTCGTTGAACGAAGCGTCCTGAGGAACACATGTGCTGTCCGCAGCAGCTGTCTAAGAACCAAGTGTTCTTTCCGGATGGCTCGCTTTGGGCGATGGCGGCGTATGTCGGGTTCGGCTGAAGTGACTCGCAGCGGGGTGTGGTTTCGTCGAGTCGTTCTTCTGGTGAATAGTACGGTGGTGACTCGGTGATGCAGGAGTCTGTTATCTTTGCCATGCAGTTGACGATGTTTCTTGCTCCTTGTGCAGGTTGTCCTGTTGAAGTCGTTGAAGCTTGAATTTTTGGCGTGGGATTTGTTTGCGTTGAAGTGACTTGGGTGCTTGAAGGCCGAAGTTGTCGCTGTGGTGTTGTCGATTGTTGACGATTCCGGCAGTGCGTGCGGGGGTGTCCTGAAGTTTTGCAGATGTGGCAGAACGGAGGTACTGGCTTCAGTTGTTGCTGCCGATTGTTGTTGTTGTTGTAGCGTCGCTGGGTGTGGAACGCGAACTCTGGTGCTGACGTCTTCTTTTTATGTCATTCTTCTTGCAGGTCCATGTCTTGCTGCTCGGCATGGATTTCGGCGCAGAGTGCTGCTTCGGAGATTCTTCCGTGAGCTCGGAGGATGGCTTTTGTGGCGCGCCATTGAGGACCGAGGCTTCCGATGATGACTGTCACGAAGGCGTCTTCAGAGATCGACCCTCTGCATCGAAGAAGCTTGTCGCGCAACTCGTGACATCGACTGATATACGCCAGTCCTTTCTCCCCTGGTTTCATTTCAACTGTTGTCAGTTGCGCCATTAACCGACTTTGACTTACACTGTCTGTTGCTTGATACAGGCTCTTCAGGTGGTTGTATGCGAGCTCCGCGGAGTTACCGTAACCTCGGTAGGTCCTTATGTTCTGCTGTTGAGTCGGGGTGATGTTTCTCAGTAGGATCGTGTATGCCATCATTGACTGATAGGTGTACTGCTGCTTCTCGTATTGTGTGCCGTTTGTTGGATATGGCAGGGTCCCGTCGAAGAACCCAAGTATGTGCGCGCCTTCCATCATCAGTTCAAACTCGAACGACTAGGTGAAGAAATCCTTTCCGTCGAAAGGTCTTAACGTCTGCATCTTCAGAACATGTGCGAACTACGACTGAACTTGCAGTGCGTCCAATTGTTTTTCTTGTCCAGGTGAGGGCTGTGGTTGTGGCATGAAGCTGATGGATCCGCGCTTGTACGGAGCAAAGGTAGGTTGTTGTTGCTGGTTTCCCCGTGCATATGATGAGCCGTCGAGACTCATGGGTGTTGCTCCGTTGTTGTTGCTGTTGTGTGATTGCGCAGGTCCTCCTTGTTGATGCTGCTCGTAGAAGGACATGAAGGAGAAGAATTTCTCCATCATGCTTGGATCGAAGCCCACGCCTTGGTTTGCAGGTGTTTCAGTAGACCCAGCTGCCGGTCTCGTTGTTGTCCCTTCCTCTGTCTGTAGGCCAGAGGCAGGAGGTGGAGTAGGAGTAGTACCGGGAGAGCCGTTGGAGGAGCTCCTCTCCTTTCTAGTAGACATATCTTCTTGGTGTATTAAGTATTGAGGAGAAATAATTTAACTCTAACCTGCTCTCATACCATGTTGGGCTGAGTGCCCTTTAGGATCTTTGGTAGAGTTAAAGTCTGAGTAAAGTGATGAAGTAGCGGAAGCGTTTGGAGTAAAGTCTTTGAACCAGCTTGCGCTAGTATGTGAGGGCAAAGTAAGTTGATTAAAGCAAAGAGATACAAGAATATATATATGAATACAGAGAATATGAAGAGACATAATTATAACTACTTTACTGTTGCGGTTTGATACAGTGCGACTCAGGCAACTGCTCAATGTCAAGTCAGTTGTGTGTTCTTGCTGTCGCGCTGCATTTGTCAGGTCAAAGGTCGCTGACCTTTGACTTTCGCGTAACCTCCAGCGGTTACATCAACCTCCGAGGGTTGACTCGCTGGTGTTTCGATATGCGCTGCTTCGCTTGTGTCTTGGTGTTTCGACACGACAGAGGCGCTTAGGACTGTTTGTTCCCAACAGCGGGTTGAGTGGCATTGGTGCCATAATGGCATGTTCGCCACTTGTCGTCGCGAACTCCACGTGCCGACGGGCTTCGCGAGGCTCCCGCGGGCTCGGTGCGACCCTGTTTCCTCCCATGTCAGGCATCGGCTGGGCGACGTCATCGCTGGCTGCGCCGGAGCGCTGTCCCACGCTGTTATTTTGTGTTGGTGTGCCGGACGAGATGACGATCGGCTCGTCTGATTGTGCAGATGCATTTGTCGGTGCGTGTGGTGGCGCTGGAGTGTTCATCGTTGATTGCTGACGCGCGGAGTCGCGTTCCGCCGTGAGCGTCGCGATTTCGAGCGCCGAATCTTCAAGTTGGCGCACCAGACGGTCGAGCTGCTCCTGCGTCAATGTGGCGAGCGTGAATTCGGCCATGGCAGGGGTGTCGAGCGAGCTCGGCGAGAGCCTTCGTCGTGGCCGTGCGTGCTTACGAGAGAGCACTACGAGCGGCGGTGCCGTGTTGCTGAGAGACGTCTACCCCCCCAGCAATTGAGATAGTATGGAAGCGAAGGTGTGGGTGCGGTCCTAGGGGAGATCCTAGGCTCTGAATATCAAGTGTTACGAGTGCAATTGAGTGAACGAACGAGAATTGCACTATCGAAGCAAGAGTCCAATGAGCGAAGGCATGAGCGAAGAATATATAGCGAAACTACAGTGGTAACGGTAACGAACTGTGATTGTCGCGCGACGGCCCCGGGACTGAGGTTGGGAATAAGTGTCGAAGCGGAGGCCCGGAGCGCGGGTTACCCGCCGAGCCTTGAGGTCGGGGTGCGATGTGCGAAGGTGGCTGGCGGATTGTCGATGCGAGGGTTGCGAGTGGTAACGGTGCTGACTGTGGTGCTACAGTGATGTACGCGTTGAGCAGGGATGCGAAGTAAGGAAAAGGAATTTTCCTTGCAGTTTACCATTCTACTTCTCACAGTGACACACTTTCTACACCTGCTTTTAGCTTGGGTGAATGGACCGTTAGGGTCCTTTAAGGGCGCTCCGCTTTCTCAACAGTGGTCCGACACAGCAAACACACGAACAGGTTCGGGAACATTGCACTCACCTCGAATCTGCGAGACCGAGAGGTATGGCGAAGGTTACCCTTGTCCCAACGTGCGGGCGCCCCTCTTCCAACCAAAATGTCGTAGGCGCGAACCAGACGCCACGCATGGAAAACGTTCCCCCCGTCACTTTCGCTCCGCGCGCAACGGGTTTGACAAAACAGAAGTGACCGCGTGTCGTCCTCGCGGGTCACGTTTGCCGTTTGTCACATGCACACATGCCGAGCCGCGGGATTGCCGAACCATCGAATGGTTCTCCGTCAAATGCGATACGGTCCGTTCAAACCAAGACGTCAGCTTCCCCGCCATGCGCTCGACAGGGATTTCCTTTTGCCCGCACGGGGAGGGTCGCATGTCAGATGTCCCAACTGACGAGGGGATCCAGCCAAAGCGTTTTCAACGGCAAACGCTGAATTGGTCATGCAAGGAAGCAACGGGTCGCGACCGCGAGCCAATTGCTACTTTTTGGGGCACACGCACATAGAACGTAACCGGTTGTATGGGTACCAAGCACGGCTAGATAACTAGCTATTCCCAGTTTTCATTCGGCTTAGGGATTGCTCTATTGCGCTCTCTCTACTGCAGAGCTCATTGCCATCCTATCAGCCAGCTAGCTCGCCTTAGATCGTCTGCGAACCTTGTCGCCTTAAGTATCTTGTAAGGCGGAGCGCGAAAGCAACATGCCGCCAAACATGGCTCCGCCAATGAAACTAGTATCGCCGTCGGGTCCAGGGAAGCCCATTGACGTGGAGAGCGAGAGCAACGAGAAGCTCAGGTCCAACTCGTTTGTGCAACGATCAGCGCGGAGTCTAAGCGGACCGCAATTAACTTGCCTCACGGTTTTCGTCGTCGTGACGTGAGTTCCCTTGCACGCAACGGAGCTCCGCAGAGCTCTTAACACACCAGCCGAAATTTGGTGGTTGCGTGCATCATCAAGATATACAGGGGCGTGGTATGAATAGGCTGCCATAGCTATCTGGCAATTCAATACCATGCATATTTCCCGTTTCTCTTGTATTTGATTTCAGTTTCCTGCGCCCTCTCGGGCTATCCGTCCACTTAGCGGCCCAGCCAGAACGCTTGCGTTCTTATACCGTTACGCCTTTCCCCTACCTTCCGTTCGTTGTCTCGTGGTGCAGATTCATAGGGTTGCTGTACCGCTCCACGTCACCATTGCTAGGCCAATCGGGCGCGAACACGGGAGAGGCCCCGTGGGGTGACGCCGTATGGGAGCATCAAGTACTGGCCTCGAGCAAACCTCAGGAGGCGGCGGGCCTCGTCGTTTTCGTCACAGGCGCAGCGGGGTTCGTGGGCTCGCACGTGTCGCTGGCGCTTAAGAGGCGAGGCGACGGCGTGGTTGGAATTGACAACTTTAACAGCTACTACCCTGTCGCGCTCAAGAGGGCGAGGCAGGGCCGTCTCGCTGAGAAGGGAATGTAAGCACACTAACTCCCGTGCCGCCCGCCATGCTGGTTACTCCTCTTTGACACTGCCTTGCATCCGCCCGCACTGCTCTCTGCTGTCTCTGGCACGTCCGTCTTTAGATACCGCCCTCGTTGCCGATCCACCGTAACTCGTATTCTTGCCTGCTTTCCCCTCTTTTCCTCGACTGCTTTTCCTGATCCTTATCGCTCTGTCTCGCTAACGGAATGTCTGCTGTCTCGTCAAATTTCTCTCCACGCTTCCGCGCGCTGCGCAGTTTCATCGTGGACGGCGACATCACCAACCAAGCCATCCTGGCGCGCCTCTTCCAGCTCGTCAAGTTCACGCACGTGCTGCACCTCGCCGCGCAGGCCGGCGTGCGGTACGCCGTCGTCAACCCGCTCGCGTACGTGCACTCTAACGTGCAAGGCTTCGTGACGCTGCTCGAGGAGTGCAAGGCCGCGAACCCGCAACCCGCGGTGGTCTACGCGTCGTCATCGAGCGTGTACGGGCTCAACAGCAAGGTCCCTTTCTCCGAGGACGATCGCACGGACCGGCCGGCGAGCCTGTACGCCGCGACGAAGAAGGCGGACGAGGTGTTGGGTCATACTTACAATCACATCTACGGGCTTTCTATCACCGCGCTGCGGTTCTTCACGGTGTACGGTCCCTGGGGCCGCCCCGACATGGCCTACTTTTCCTTCGCGCGGAATATCGTCAGGGGCAAGCCGATTAAGATTTTCCAGGGCCCCAAGAAGGAGGAGCTTGCGCGGGACTTTACGTATATTGATGACGTGGTGCGCGGGTGCGTGGCTTCGCTGGACACGGCTGCGCCGAGCACGGGCAGCGGCGGGAAGAAGAAGCGCAAGGCGCCGATGCGCGTGTTCAATCTGGGGAACACGCAGCCCGTGAAGGTCGGCGAGTTCGTTGGTATTCTCGAGAAGCACCTCCAAAGGCAGGCCATCCGCAAGTACGTTGCGCATCCGTTTGCTTCCAGCGTCGCGATTTTGGCCCTTCGTGCTGGTTACGATACCTACCCCGCGATGTAATTTAGATTTCCCAGTTATTGCTCGCCTGCTGATTTACTGTCTCGAGGTATTTTCATTTCCTGACTTTGGCTTCCTTCGACGTTCTGTGCAGCTACATCCAAATGCCCAGCACTGGTGACGTCATGTTCACGCACGCCAACGTCACAAGAGCCCACAACGACCTTGGGTAAGTTGCTGGACTTGATTATTCAGTTTGATAGCTTGAGCTCTTGTTTGACTGGTAGGTAATTTTTCATTATCCTGCTCTTTCCTAACAGAACACCGTTCTCCCTGTTTTCCCTGCCGGCAGTTATCAACCCACCACCGATTTAGATGCGGGATTGGAGAAGTTCGTGCGGTGGTTCAAGAGCTACTACAGGGACGGCAGCGAGAATGAGAAGACGCTTGATGGTTACAAGCCGTACTAAGGTGCTGCACAACACGAACTGACGAATGACGAACAATTAATTCCTTGCAAATTCGCGCTTCATTCCGTCAAACAAACCAGCAACATTAAGTTTCACGTCAGTACACGCTCTCCGCATCACCGGCTGATGCGGAGGGGACCAGCTAGCAATTCAACACGGATCGAATGTTCATCTGCCCTCATCTTCGCTCATCACCACCGGCCACAGAAAAGCCCATCTGCTCTGTGGGCATGATGTGCGCAGCGTTTTCCTCATCTGTCATCTGTCCCGCTTCACGTCGCCTCCATTTCAGCGTCGACAAATTCCCGTTTTCGCTGTTCTACCCATTCGTCCGTAACACTTCTGCGTCTCGCTCTACACGTCCCCGCCATTACCTGGAGGCCCGCACCTGTCAATGGTGAGGTCTCTAAAGTCGGTGCAAGACTTCCTCAAAACCCTCCGGGTTTTACTGACCATATAAACGATATGCTTTTCTTATGTTAGATAATAAAGTGTAGTGGACAGTAGGAAAATACTTTATAGGGCTATGTATGGTGTTGGCAGTCGAGTAGGTTCTCATAGGGAGATAGAGATTACAAAATCAGGAATAAAATGTCATTATGACTGAGCATGTATTCCAAACATACATAACAAACAAGAATGAAAATGATGTACCACCCTAACCCCCTAAACCCACAGGATATTAGGGGGAACTCTTCCTTACCAAATTTCCCCGGATATCAGGGGGGAGAAGTTTTTCTTGCCAGATTCCCCCATATCCTGGCCAACCACCTGAGAGTCAATATGCAACAATTTTGTGCCCACCCCTCCTCCCTCAAACTGTCTGTTATGGCAGAAGTATCCGCAAACAGGGTATGTCTGCATTCTATCTACTGTTACGGCTATCTCTGCTCTAGTAATTGTTACAGCGCGACATATATAGTGTATATGGCTTACATACGCAACGCGAATCTACGTGCTAGGGAGAGGGATGCTGTAAGAGCTAATCCTAGGGCGATGTGGAGGCGAACACAGAAATACTTTGCCATGAATATGGTGTCATTATCCTGAAAGGCATACCGTACGAACAGACACACGGACAACAAAAGCAAGGGCTGGGTATAATGAAATACGAAGTGAAGGGCAGGGTTCAGGTGAGAAATTCGGACAGGTGGTGGCAAAAAGGAGAAACCAAAAGAAGGAAAGAAAAAATGATGAAATACGAGGGCGGATCGAAGGCAAACGACAGAGTCCACAGTAGCAGCCGGCAAGAGCAAGGGCCTCATACTGTATCGTGAGAGCACGGGCCTCATATCGTGAGAGCACGAGCTTCCGGAACCGGAACATTAGGCAGCCGGACGAACCTGATGATGCGACGAGACAAAGTTGACCACGATGCGACCAATGGGGAGCGTGGCGGCTGCAGCAAGCAAGCAGGTCCATGGGAGAACCCCCGTGGCAACGAAGGCAGCGGAGAAGATGTAGAGTGCGAGCACAGACACTCGCACCACTTCACACCCGGTGGCTGTGCCGAGGCGCACTAGCGGGGAGAGCTTGCCCTTGGCTCTGTCTCCGTCGATCTACGGGAGGTGGTTGTGGTGAGGGAAGGTTGGGAAGTAAGGGAGAGAAGTTGGGGGACGGGAAGAGAAGGGTTGAGACTTGTTGGGGACGAGAGGAGAGAAACATGGAGTGGCGTGAAGGGCAGGTGTGGTGTGGAGAGGGAGGGAGGGATGGCTCGGAATGCAGTGAAATCAGGCTGGTACAGTTGATGGCAAGGCTTGGTTACCACTCACTGCAAGGCTCGGTACCACTCACTGCAAGGCTCGGTACCACTCACTGCAAGGCTCGGTACCACTCACTGCAAGGCTCGGTACCACTCACTGCAAGGCTCGGTACCACTCACTGCAAGGCTCGGTACCACTCACTGCAAGGCTCGGTACCACTCACTGCAAGGCTCGGTACCACTCACTGCAAGGCTCGGTACCACTCACTGCAAGGCTCGGTACCACTCACTGCAAGGCTCGGTACCACTCACTGCAAGGCTCGGTACCACTCACTGCAAGGCTCGGTACCACTCACTGCAAGGCTCGGTACCACTCACTGCAAGGCTCGGTACCACTCACTGCAAGGCTCGGTACCACTCACTGCAAGGCTCGGTACCACTCACTGCAAGGCTCGGTACCACTCACTGCAAGGCTCGGTACCACTCACTGCAAGGCTCGGTACCACTCACTGCAAGGCTCGGTACCACTCACTGCAAGGCTCGGTACCACTCACTGCAAGGCTCGGTACCACTCACTGCAAGGCTCGGTACCACTCACTGCAAGGCTTGGTTACCACTCACTGCAAGGCTCGGTACCACTCACTGCAAGGCTCGGCACCACTCACTGCAAGGCTCGGTACCACTCACTGCAAGGCTCGGTACCACTCACTGCAAGGCTCGGTACCTCACTGCAAGGCTCGGTGCCACTCACTGCAAGGCTCGGTACCACTCACTGCAAGGCTCGGTACCACTCACTGCAAGGCTCGGTACCACTCACTGCAAGGCTCGGTACCACTCACTGCAAGGCTCGGTACCACTCCCCGCAAGGCTCGGAATAACTGACTGACCGGTGGAATCGCGAGCTGAAGAGAATCAGTTACGGCTGAGATCAAGGACGAGTATGCTGCTAGCAAGGCTCGGTATGGCTGGCAGAAATGCTCGGTATGGCTGACGACAAGGCTCAGTTAGTCCAATCTAAGGTGACAGCAATGTAAGACCTGGTGGAAATGTGCGCAGAAGAGAATCAGATACGGCTGACAGCAAGGAGCAGAATGAATGCGGCTCTCTATGGCTGACAGCAAGGCTCGGTACAGTGCAAGGCAAGGCCCAGTGGGTGAGTGCAGGGTGATTGACCTGGTGGAAGTGCGAGCAGAAGAGAATGAGCGTGGTGGTGATGCCCACCAGCACCGATGCTGCCAGCACTGCTGCTGACACCGGTGCTGGCGCGCCCGGGTTGCTGGTAGAGAGGGAAACGGTGAATGGGGACGGGATGGGAGAGGAGAAGAGGGGAGGGAAGGTTAGGGGATGGGATGGGTGTGGTGCGGTGCGGTGGGGTGGGTTGGGGTGGGGTGTGGTGGGGTGGGGTGGGATGGGATAGGATGGGATGGGACACAATTGAGTTTGGGATCAGGATTGGGGAGCACGGGGCCCTTTTGACCAAGAGAGGACGCAGCTAATGTGGCAGGTGGATAACGAGTTTTGATTGGCCAGCAGCTATTGACAGTTCCTCCCGGGCTCAAATCCCATGCCTTTCACATGCCAAATGCGTATTCACCTGGCTCTGTTGCCCATTCACCTGGCTCTGTTGCACATTCACCTGGCTCTGTTGCACATTCACCTGGCTCTGTTGCACATTCACCTGGCTCTGTTGCACATTCACCTGGCTCTGTTGCACATTCACCTGGCTCTGTTGCACATTCACCTGGCTCTGTTACGCAATCACCTGGCTCTGTTGCAGATTCACCTGGCTCTGTTGCGCATTCACCTGGCTCTGTTGCACATTCACCTGGCTCTGTTGCACATTCACCTGGCTCTGTTGCACATTCACCTGGCTCTGTTACGCAATCACCTGGCTCTGTTGCGCAATCACCTGGCTCTGTTGCGCATTCACCTGGCCTGGTGCAGGTAGAAGGCAGTGGTAGCAGAGGGGCCGAAAGCGAAGAAGCAGAGGGGCTCGCCCAAGCCCCTGTAGCTCAGGCGGAAAGGCGGACACTGGCATGAGCAATGAAGGTGGGGAGAGGGGGAAGAAGGGAGTGTGCGGGGAGGGAAAAAGAGGAGGGAGAGGCGGGGGAAAAAAAAAAAGTGTACGGGGAGGAAAGCGGGGAGGGAGAGGGGGAAAAGAGGCGCATGTCGGGAGGGAAAAAGGGAGGGAAAAGGGCAGGAAGTACACGGGAAGGAAGAAAAAAAGAGGTTTAAATCATCATAAACGTGCCGAATCTGCATCAGCTAATATGTCAGACTGCTGGGAGCAGTCATGAGGCGCCGCGTATGTGCCGGAAGGAGGGAGTGAACGACAATTCCATTATGATTAAATAACCCTTCCCTGAATCAGAACTTTACTGAATAGATACAAATAGCCTTCACTCACCTGATACACGTAGCCACAGGCAATTGAGGCGGCCAATAGCCATCCAACACGTGGATCCGCAACAGCAGCTGCACCTGAGAAGATCCCTGCGAGGCCCACCCCCAGCATGAGGAAAGCCGCTGCCAGCACTCGGAAGCGACTGGTGCGGGGGTTTGAAGGTGGGGGGGAAGGGGAGGGGAGAGGAGGGGGGAGGTGGAAGAGAGGAGATTAAACGAGGCACAGAAGGAAAGTGAGAAGATCCCTGCGAGGCCCACCCCCAGGAGGAGGAAAGCTGCTGCCACCACTCGGAAGCGACCGGTGGGTGCGGGGAGAAAGAGGGGAGGGAGAGGGGAGTTGCAGAGAGGAGGGGAGGAGAGAGGTGGGGAGGAAAGGGAGAGAGGGAAGGGTAGGGGAGGGTACGGAATGAGGGGGAGGGGGAGGATAAAATGGAAGTTGAGAAGAGCAGAAGAGTCACGGAGGGAATCTTGCTTCTTGTTGCTCCTGAAGCAAAGTCTATCTCGTTCGTTGAATAAATCATTACCAATCCTCGGTGTTCCCCAACTTTTACGGGCTAGCTCATAGGCTACTTCGTCTATAGCAACGCTCAATACTTGGCCGGAACGCTTCGACTCTCTTCTAAGCCATTCATCTTAGTCACACTACCGTCACCTTTCATCCACACTCAATCCTAATATCCATCATATACGTGTCGGTGGAAGTGAGTTCTGATTTGACTTGCAGATTGCCTCATGCTCTTGCTCCGTCTTTCTTGAGAGCCCAGCACCCTCATTCTTTCATCCAGAGAGGCGTTTGAGCTGCACAGTGCCGTGATTGGATGGATGATGAACATGGGTCCAACTACCAATGCGTTCTTCAGCCACCCATCAGGCTGAGCCACCTGCCCGTCAGGCTGACTTACCTGCCCGTCAGGTTGCCCCACCTGCCCGTCAGGTTGACCCACCTGCCCGTCAGGTTGACCCACCTGCCCGTCAGGTTGACCCACCTGCCCGTCAGGTTGACCCACCTGCCCGTCAGGTTGACCCACCTGCCCGTCAGGTTGACCCACCTGCCCGTCAGGTTGACCCACCTGCCCGTCAGGTTGACCCACCTGCCCGTCAGGTTGACCCACCTGCCCGTCAGGTTGACCCACCAGCCCGTCAGGTTGACCCACCTGCCCGTCAGGTTGACCCACCTGCCCGTCAGATTGACCCATCTGCCGGTCAGGTTGACTCACCTGCCCGTCAGGTTGACCCACCAGCCCGTCAGGTTGACCCACCAGCCCGTCAGGTTGACCCACCTGCCCGTCAGGTTGACCCACCTGCCCGTCAGATTGACCCACCTGCCGGTCAGGTTGACCCACCTGCCCGTCAGGTTGACCACAGACTCTGGCTTCGTCTTATCCACGCCAGTGAAAGAATCGAATCCATCGTTACTGTCACAGGGAGAGGCAGCAGGGAGAGGGGAGGCAGGTATTAGGCAGGACGGAAGCGAGTGGGAAACGAAATGAGCCTTCACCAGCAAACCCCATGGCTAGATGTGCATTGCATTTCAAAACGCCCTGTGTCGTTGATTGAAGATGTGGAACAGGTGGAGTATCAGGTAGAGTGACTCGCGAAGAAGACACTGTGCTGTACCTTAGATTGAGCCACGCAATAACGAGGACGGAGAAGAGGAGGAAGGAGTTGAATCTGCCCGCGTGGAAAACTCCTGTCTGTAGGTATGCCGCTGACGCCCCCACCTGGCGTGCGACGAGTGCAAGAGGCGAGAGCGACGCAGGGAGGCGTGAGTGGCAAGAGTGGCGAGAGTGACATACGCGACGCGAGGGGATGTGTGGGAGAAGATGACGAGAGAGCCTTAGGATAGTTCCCATTTGTAAACGATTACTTTTGATTTGAAATCGGCTAAAAGTAAAGAAGCCTTATCCAGAGTCTGTCCTCTCTCCTTCCACGCGGACTAACCTACTCGCGCAATTCTAGGTTCTTTCCAATCAGACGCACCATGAGCGGAATCAGCGCCACGCTGTAGATCGGCAGCTTCACAGCGCGCCAAATCAGCGTCGCTTGGCTCAGCTTCTCGCCTCCGTCGTTGTCGCTGCTACTGCCACTGCCGCTGCCCGCCGCCGCCGCCTTCACCGCGACTTCTTCCGCCGCGCGCGTCTCCCCGGCAATTCCCGAACTTTCCGCCTCTTGTGGCTTTCCGCCCTCCTCCGCTGCGTCCGCGGATTCGCTATAAGGCTCGTCGATAGTCACAGTGTCCGCGCGAGCTTTTATCGCGGACACAAGCGGGTGTCTGTAAGTGACGTGGTCCGACTCATGAGTTATTGAGGTCGCGAATCGCACTGGTCTTGACAGGACCGCCAGTCTCCGTGCATCCCTTGCGGATTTAGTCACAATTGCGCGGGCTCCGAACGTGTCGCGCCTGACAGCTGGGGCGATTTGACGAGCACTCAGGAGTAGCGAAACGCGCGAAACGGACGGAACCGACGAGACCGCCGCGAATGGAAGTCCGGCGTTGCCCAGCCGACGCGCGGCTGGGCTGCATTTGACGAGTCCACATGGCGGGCAGTGCGCAGCTAGACTCATGATCGCCCGTGAGTGGTGGAAGTGATAATACCCGCGAGCTCCCTACTGCAGTGACTGCGAGAGTCTTCACAGAAATGACGGTTGGTATTCGCACTGGAGCCGGCCGGAGACGAGCGCAGCGAATGGTTTTTGTCAGGGGTAACAGTCGCCGCTGCTCGTTGACGCCAGCCCACGGCCTGCCGAGTATGTTGTCGCTGATTATGAGTTTAACGTTCTACCGGAGGCTATAAGCCACTAGAGAGAGGCGTTACCGTTCTTAATGAGAGCTAGGAGAGCGCGACGTTGCTCAGACACAACGCGGATTCTTTTCACCAGTAGCTCGTTTCTGATACTTTTGCTGATCACCACCACGTGCAGCTTGTGGAGATGAGGTGAGGTACAGAATGCACACTGTAGCCCTGGCCTGGTCTGAGAGTTCCTATAATTCACCTTTTATTCGCCTCGACGGAACTTCGCTAGTCGGCTGAATTTTGCTTCGCTTCAGTGCTGAGTTCCCAAGTGACCAGGTGTTCGTGTCGTGAGTGAGCTTTTTTGTACTGTGAAAGGTTGAGTGCAATTTCGCGCAATTCGAGCCGGTTTTATCAGTTATGATGCAGCCAAATGAAAAGAAGAGGCCGTCAATTGCCTCTTATTTTCATTTGTTTGGGAGGTGTTGGTTTGTGCCAATGGAAATCCGCTGGTTGCAACTGGAAAATGTTTTGGTAGACACCCATGGAAAAGTGTCCGTGTTGTGCGAAAGTTTAGCTCATTGTGAGACTGCACTAGAGAGATAAAGCAAAATGCAAACGTTTGGAATACTCGAGATTTGTATGCAGCACTCACCATTGTGACCGGTAACGAATAAAATGTATTACCTTCTAGACTCGCGACTCGGCAGTGGTGTGGATTATCAAGGTTGGATTTCGGCATCCAAGCACCAGGTTGGTCCAAGCTCACAGGCGCGGACCAAAGGAAAGCAAACGTGGAGAGCTGGGCTCTGGATTCTGTGAGCGTCTCATTGGTTCGCAGACGCGACGTTGTGACACGTCAGAACTCGGTGGCAAAACCTGGATATGTGCACTTCTTTATCCACGCACATAGCACCTTTACATGTACAACAAACCATGCTCCTAATGGGTCCATTTGCAGATTCAAGATATCGATGCATTTGCATTATCGGCAGAAAAAATTGCAAATATGCCGTAGGTATAGAGTCTCTTTGGTGGACATGACTCATGAATGGCGTATATACGGGGCCTCCTCTGAATGCCAATCCATATATTCAACACTAAGGCCTGCACTGCACAAGGACCTACAAAGAAAAGCAACGAACGTGTATGAACACCCATTAGCACTTAAATCTCTATCTCTACCTCAACCCCTTGTTCTCACCACGGCAGTTGCGTCGTTCACCTAATCGCACACCAGCCGGCCTTCCCAGCACTCCATTCTCAATGTCAGAACTGCAGATGATCTCCAGCGCAAATCCCGTGGCGCCATGCCAGGAAACGGGGCGTCGTAACCTTTGCCTTGGGGGGGCGAGAGAAGGATCCACTTCATGACGTGTTAGTTGCCACTCTCACTCTCCTCTCAGCTATTGCACATGGCTTCTGCTCCATGCTACTCTCCTCTGCACTGCTCTATTTCACCCCCATCTCCACCGCTCCCTCCCCCCTGGTCTCTATCCCAATTCCCTGTCCCCAATACCCCAATCCTCGTTCCCAACCCTGTTTCCGGTTTCCCTGCTCCCAGTTCCTGCCGTTCTGGTTCCCCGTTGCTGCTCCAAATGCAGGATGTCCCCTGTACCTCTTGAACTGTTACCTGACAACCTACATGGTGGTGAGTGTCCGTCTTGTCCCCCTCCCATCCGCCCGTTCCAGTGACACACCTCCACATGTGCCTTTGTACCCTCATGGCCTCATGCCCATGTTCAGAGCGTGCATGGACAGGCAGAGGCTGCATGGACGAGACTTGAAGTCCCCGTTGGCCGCGCCACGCTTCCCCCCCCCTGCCCCTCTTCAGAAACCCCCCCCCAAAGTCTTCGCCTGACCGTCAGCACCTCACCCTCCGTCCTGTATCTCCCTGTCCCCATTCCCATCGTCTTCTCTCGTTTGCTTGTAGCACCCCCCCCCCCACCCCCCTTACATCCCATTTCGCCATCATCCTCGGCCTCTGTCACCCCCTCGTCGCTCCCCCAAGCCCCCACATTCCCCAAAACCCTCTCCCTTCCCCGCCCATCCTCCTCCTCCTGCTGCTCCTCCAACCGCCCACTACCACCACTCATCCTCAACATAGTCCTCCTCCCCCTCGCTAGAGTCATCATCGGAGTTATCCAAGCGCATGTACCGATCCTTGTTCCGCAACACATACGCCTCCTCCGCATCAATACTGTACCCCTCGCCAATCAACCTCCGATTTACGCTGTGCGCCTTGTCCCGCACGGTCTTCACCCCCCCTTTGTAACTCCTCGTTACAGCCACGCCACTTCTCTTCTTCTTCGCAGCCCGTGGTTTTCACACATGCTCGACGGACCCCCCTCCCGGCACTCGCTCCCCGTTCTTCTTTCAATACCAAGAGCTCCCCTCAGCACAGTACATTTCCACGCTAGGATACGCCGCTTGCAGCGCACCCAGCAGGTTCGCATCCGCGCGCCTGCTGGTCGGAAAAAAGACGAATTTCAGATCCTCGATGAGCGGAGGTTCCAGGGAATACTTGGTTGCGTACTCTTCGTAGCTGCTTTCCCAGCGCTCATCCTCGTTCGGCTCGTAATCGTACTCAGTGTCGTTGTCGATCTTCGATCCCGAGGCCACTTGGTTGCCGAAGGGGCCAGTGTGGAAGCGCGTCGTGTACTTGCCGGACATGCGTTCTTCGTCCTGCCGGTCCTCCTCCAGCCGTTGCTCGCGCATCCTCCCCCAATACTCCTCGCGCCGCTTCTCCCGCACGGAGTAGGATGCGTCTGTTCGCACCGCGTCTTCTAGGGTAACTTCGCCGGGCACCGCTTTCGCCCTCGCGCAGTCGCACTCCACGACGATCGCGAGGCTCTGCAGGCGCGGCCCGGCCACTCCGCAGGAGTCGAGGCGGATATCGTGCCTCGCTATAAGAACCTCCGTTGTCGGCGCTAGTGCGCGCAGCCAGTCAGCCCAAGGAAAAGGCGGCGGCGGCATCTCGGAGTACATTCCAAACCCCTGCCGCTTCTTAAGAATATACGGGTTCGGCCATGTCGGGTAGAACCTGATCGGACCGTTCAGGTAGAGCGCGCGGACAGATCCAACGGCGAACGATGAGATATGCAGCCTCGTCTTCCCGAAGAGGAACAGCTGGTCGAGAACCAACGGGCTGGCGGAGCTGCAGTTCAGAATCAGGGTTTTCGCGGACGCGTGGAACGACGTGAACGCGGGTGGCAGAGAGAGCCGAAGCTTGAGCTCGTCATGCACGAAGCGGAAGGTGAGGCGGCGGATGCGGGGGAAATCCAGTTTAAGGTAAACAGGGCCGGATACCACCCCGTATGCGAGACTCTCCGGCTCATAAAAGGTAAACTCGTGTAGTTGCGGCGTGAATTCCGCCAGGGCTTTGAGGTTCGGGCCCCTGGCGTCGTTGGCTCGGAGGGTGAGGCTCGTTATTGAGCGGGACAAAGGAGCCGCGACGCAGGAGGACTTGTCGAATCGCCACGCGCCGCGCCCGAGAGTGAGGGAGTGGAGGCTCGTGCCAGTTGTTGACTTTATAGTCGTGGGTCTTGCCTCGAAGGGAGAGTTCGAGAGAGGTGAGCGAGGAGAGTAAGAGCGAGCAGGCGGGGAGGGAGAAGGGGCGGCGGAGGAGGGGGATGACGGAGGGATGGGTGAAGGAGAGGTGGAGGGAGGGGAGAGGGGGCGTGTGCGAGAGGAACCAGAGTACGCTGGCGGTCCATGCGGGCTTGGTGTGGATTAGCTGGAGCGCGATCGGGGTGCTGCTGCCGGCCTGATAACGGGTAGTGGCGGAAGGGAAGGGAGGGAATGAGTGAGAGATGTGGTTGCGGGGAGGTGGGGGAACTGGGAGGGGAGGGAGAGAAGGAAGCGAGGTAGCAGAGCAGCAAGCTAGAAGCTTGATGCTTCCAGCACAGGGAGGCCAGGCCCCTTCCAACTAAAATCTATACGACAACAACACACACGCATGCGTACCGCGAAGGACGCGACGTGGTGAAGAAGCCTCTTGCTGGCGAGCGCGCAGCACAGCAGAGGCCACGACGCGCCATACCACGCCGCGTTCCGCGCGTGCAGCCAGCAAGCCGACGCTCCTTACTTTCGGAACACCACCCGCGCGTCCTCCCGCTCCGCGCGCGTGCGGTCCTTCTCCCTCGGCGCAAACCAGCGGCGCAACGCGTACCTTCCACCGGCGATGGCGGTCCCCGCGGCGTTACTGTCGCCATTGCTAGCGCTCGCGTTCCCCTCGCGGCAGAATCTAGGGCTGTCGGCGGCGTGGGGAGAGTCGGCCTCGCAGGGCCGCTGCAGCAGATGGTGGAAAATGCGGTGCCAGAGAGCCGGCGGTAATTTGTCCACCAAATCCCCTTCTGCGTCGGAATGTCGTCGATATGTCAGAATTATCGAGAGGTAATTGCTTCGATGGCGGCTTGCGTATCGGCATCGTGTCGAGCTTGTGCGTTCTCGATTCGTTGTCTCTTGCTCGCCCTTCCCTGCTCGCCCATCGCATTTTCAGGAACCACATCCTGCAACGCCATCACGTTCGTATGCGTTACCTGGCTCTTGATAGCCTGTCTAAGGACGCGCTTGACCTATAAGACTCTTGTCTTGGCATATCTTTTGTCTATGCACGCTGGACGGAAAGCGATGTCCGCGCTCGTATCAGAAATACCTGTTTGTACAGAGCTGTGACGAGGTCACTCAGGGAGTGCGCATATCCCCACCCCAACCGTTGAAACGGAACGGAACGGAGGTATGCTGGAATCCAGATTCAACTGATGGAGTGGCGGAAATTCAAAATCTGCTCACCAACTGAAATCGTGGTGCAGGGGCCGAATCGCACGCACATGGAGAGACGAAACTCACAACGGAACGTAATCGATTGTCGTTGTGGGAAATAAAAATTCCCTCGGCAGCAGCAGTCTCGATACAGCCACGAAGAGTGCGCAGAGTAACTAATACTCATCAAGGGACTATCAAGGGAAATAAGGCAACTGGTCAAGGGGGTTGATATGCTTCTAAGGAGAGATAACCCGCCATCAGAATGACGCCCCAAACTCGTTCACAGATCTTTCCGTTATGAAGTCTCATGTAACCGTAGGGTACTTTCACCTAGGTTAGATTGTAGGCCTCACCCTGATCATGGCACAAACCACCCCATCCAAGGAGGATAAGGTTTCAAGACTTAGTCCAGCCATCTCAAGAAGTCCAATGCTTAAAAACATGACCACATTCAAACAAACCAGCCTGCAGTCTACGCACCCACTAGACCCCCCATCCCAAATCCCACCAGTTAAAGACTGACTAAACCCTGCAAAACCAAAGCCCTCACATGCACCAGCTCCAGCGCTGGAACCGGACGGGGCCCCACAAGCTGCTGCTGCCCCGATTTCATTCTGCTTTCTCGCCCTTCTCATGCTTCTCTCCCACCGGACGGGGCCCCACAAGCTGCTGCTGCCCCGATTTCATTCTGCTTTCTCGCCCTTCTCGTGCTTCTCTCCCTCCTCATGCTTCCCTTCCTTCTCGTGCTTCTCTCCCTTCCCATGCTTCCCATGCTTCCCGTGCTTCCCATGCTTCCCATGCTTATTGCCCTTCTTCCCCCTCTTCCCTTTCTTTCCCTTCTTTCCCTCCTTCAGGCTCCTACGCACATCCGCCACGTCAGCATCGCCATCAGCATCCTCATCGCCTTCCGCCAGCGGGGAGGGCAGGTCGACCTCGGCCATGCTGCGAGCAGCCGCGCCATCAGACCCCGCCTCCTCGCCCCCACTCGGTGCGGCTGAATCAGCGCCAGCAGCGGCAGGAGGCCCATCCATGCCCTTCTTGGGTTCCTTCCCCTTCTTCCCCTTCCAGCATTTCTTCCCCTTCTGCCCCTTCTTGCATTTCTTCCCCTTCTTCCCCTTCTTGCATTTCTTCCCCTTCTTCTTCAGGCTCCTGCGAATGTCTGCCACGTCAGCATCAGCATCTCCCTCCTCAATCTGGGAGGGCATGTCGACCTCCGCCATGCTGCGCGCAGCCGCACCTGAACCCCCGCCAGCGTCGGCACCACCAGGTGCCGCTCCCTCAGGTGCCGCCCCCTCAGGTGCCGCCCCACCAGGTGCCGCCCCCGCCCCACCGGGTGCTGCTACCGCGCCGCCATTCTTTTTCCCCTTCTTCCCCTTCCTGCATTTCTTCCCCTTCTTCCCCTTCTTGCATTTCTTCCCCTTCTTCTTCAGGCTCCTGCGAATGTCTGTCACGTCAGCATCAGCATCTCCCTCCTCAATCTGGGAGGGCATGTCGACCTCCGCCATGCTGCGCGCAGCCGCACCTGAACCCCCGCCAGCGTCGGCACCACCAGGTGCCGCTCCCTCAGGTGCCGCCCCCTCAGGTGCCGCCCCACCAGGTGCCGCCCCCGCCCCACCGGGTGCTGCTACCGCGCCGCCATTCTTTTTCCCCTTCTTCCCCTTCCAGCATTTCTTTCCCTTCTTCCCCTTCTTGCATTTCTTCCCCCTCTTCTTCAGGCTCCTCCGCGAGTCCGCCACGTCAGCATAAGCGTCCCCCTCCGCCAGCAGGGAGAGCAGGTCGACCTCCGTCAGCACGCGAACAGCGCCATTGTGGCGCGACTCTTCGCCCTCCTCCGCAAGAGCGCGGTTCGTTATAAGCACATCCGCGTCCTCGCTTGCGTCATCTGCGAGCGCTTTGCCCGTGGCGAGGAGGCTGTCGTCGGGGCTTGCGGCGAGAGTAGCGAGAGCGGGGTTGAACTCCGCCGCGGCCGCCAGGTGCGCAACCGCGAGCGCACAGAGCAGCAGCAGGAAAGCGCGAAGCACCTTCATTGCTAACTTTTGGTCTCAAGCTGGATAGCTAGTAGTAATATTGCGATATGAACTTATCGGATGAGACCGGCTCAAGTGATGGAGAAGAGTGGAAATGCGAAACGAATATGTAGTGTCGAGATGTGTTTCGAGGCGGCTCGGGATTTGCCGTGAACTGAAGGAAGTAACGAAGCGCGCAGCTAACTGACGCAAGGACTCGTCTGCGTGTGAGGCGGTGCTAGGGTCGCCCATAATGTCACTCGATTCATATGAGCTGGCTAGATTCACGGGGCCTAGCCTGCCTGACTCAAAAAGGTGGCGCTCCTTGACTTGCGGGCGATGGAAACTGCAGAAGAATTGCTTTTGCTCCAGAAGAGAAGTGCCCATCCAATCAGCATGCGACCCTCGAGATTGCTGGGGTGACCCCCCGCAATTATACAGCAGACCAGCTCAAAGAACAGTCCGCCAATTGCGGATATGGGGGGTCTGAGATTAGCATGTATATCTACAGAGTAAAATTTCCCTAGCGCTAACTCACATTATGGTACTGAAGTACAAAAGGGTGATACATGTGAAACGGAAAGAGCAATGTGATTATGATGAAGTATCATTCTCACAGTTTTAATTTGAATTTCTGGTGGGCAAGAAAAGTATTGGAGCCATGACGTGTGTTTTCCTTGTGGATAAGGCAATTATGAAGAATAAGAGAAAAGCGGTAATTTCTGATCCAATGCAGCGGTAATAAATATTCTATAATGAATGTTCGCTCACGCATTCCCCTTTGTCAACCTTTTTCCCCCTTTTCTATATCCATTGTATTCTATATTCCCTTTCTTTCATATGAGTATATTAGTTAATGGCCAGAATTATCTGTAGATATATGAGCAGAATTATCTTCGCAGCCGTACTTGGCGGTGTATTGTTGTAGTTAGTTCGCTGCATCATTGGTTCGGGGGGTCACTCCAGCAATCTCGAGGGTCACCCCATAATTGGTACTTTCGAGGGTCCCTTGAGAATTCCAGTTCCCTCAGGAACCAACCTCACAGCACTTCTTTTCTGGAGCGATTCTTCCGCAAGTGTTGCCATCGCCTGTCGAGAGTTGAACGAGAAAGAGTTAAGATTAACTAGGGCCTAGGCTTAGTAGCCTAGGCCCAACTAGGATTGAGTGTCGAGCGGATTTCTCCTAGGGTGACGATCGAGTTAGTTGGAAGAGAAATTGGGAGAATGATGTTTCACTATAGGGTTCGAAGTACATATAGCATAGGAAACAAATAAGGTGCACCACCAACCACAGTTTAAATAACTACACTAACTACAGCTACAGGCAGTTACAAATATAAGTTTTGACACTCCCCCATAACTGCCTGCAGCAGGAGTATGTCCAGAATACAACTTGCAGGTGTACACATGCAGAATAATAAAAGCAAGCAACAGCAGGTAATGCAGGCGGGCTGACACTAGGTGGTCACCCCCTCCATCTCCTCACCCTCCTCCTTCCCCTCCCCCACACTGCTGCAGGAGCAGCAGAGAAGGGGGGGAAGAGAGGAGAGGTGGAGGGACGGCTGCTTGTTGCCTCACACCCGCCACCCCGGTACCACTCCCCCTGCTCCCCCACACCCTCACACCCTCCCCCCCAGCGGCAGCTGCAGCAGTGGGAATGAAAGGAGGAGGAGGGGAAGGGAAGTGAACGACCCAACGCCCCAACGCCCGCCACCCCCATACCCTCCTCCCCGCGGCTGCAGAGAAACAAAGGAGGAGGGGGTGGGCGGGAAGAAAGCCGCAGAGCGGCTACACTGTGTCGGCGGTGATAGGTCAGGGGCGGCTGCAGGGAGGGCAGGTGCAGAAAGGCCCGTCGCGTGCCACGGGGCGCACGACGGGTAAGTTTAAGTTTAAAGGGCCCGATCGAGTGCCTCGGGGCACACGACGAGCAGGGCACCGTCGCGTGCCACGGGGCGAACGACGGGCAGATTTAGGGCACTGTCGCGTGCCACGGGGCGCGCGACGGGCAGAGAAGGAGTCACACGCCCGTGGGCGGGACAATAAAAAGTTGCCACGCGCCCTAGGCGCGCGACCGAAAGAGCGTAGCAGCGGAAGCTTGAGGCGGGCCCACAGGCCAGGACGAATGTCGCTCTGATAGCATATCGAGAGTAATTGTACGAGGAAGAGTTAAGATTAACTAGGGCATAGGCTTAGTAGCCTAGGCCCAACTAGGATTGAGTGTCGAGCGGGTTTCTCCTAGGGTGACGATTGTGAAACAAGTGAACAGGAATGGGAATGACTAAGTCAGAGTTGGGTACAAATACAACCCTAGAAAGCTGTACCCCATATGTGCTACCCCACTATAGCCTACAAACATGCATCAGCTATAATACTCTGACACACCCCCATAGGCTAAGTGGGGGAGAACAAGGGGTCACAAGACCAGTCAAGCAAAGCAAAGCAAAGCAAGCTCAGGGTGGATCACAAAGTCACCACACAGTCCGAGCACAAGAGCAGGGCCAGAGGCCAGTCCACATGCAGGAGTACAGACACATATATATAAAACTAGACAAGCAAGAGCAGGTATATATATATGTCACAGTACAAGTGAAGTCAAGAGGAGAGCAAGTGAGGCAAGACAGGTACAAGACCCAGCTGGGTGCAAAAGCGCTGATGGTCACAAGGCGCGAGTGCCTTGGTGAACACATCAGCAGTGTTGGCCTCAGAGGCCACGTACGCAAGTCGCAACTGACCACGCTGCTGCAGCTCACGAGCAAGGAAGTAGCGGAGAGCAATGTGCTTCGTTCTGTGCTCCAAGCGCTGCTCTCGACACAAGGCCAGCATGGCCTTGTTGTCTACGTACAGCACTGGAGGAGAACGAGGCGGCTCTCCAAGGTCAGTCAGCAGGTAGGTGAGCCAGCGAAGCTCCTGTGCAGCCATGGCCCCGGCGTAGATCTCAGCCTCACAACTGGAGCCGAGAACCGAAGACGAGCGAGTAGACCGCCACGAGACAGAGCCGGAACCAAGGCTGAAGGTGTAACCCTGTGACGACCGCTGCGTAGCCTGGTCGTCAGCCCAAGAAGCGTCCGCGTGGCCGGTAAGGACCACTGGACTCCGCCCTCCAAGCACTAGCCCCATGCCCGACGTACTGCACAGGTAGCGCAATACCCTCTTCGCTGCAGCCATGTGCTTTGGTCTGTGTCTCCCAGGAGCAACATAGCGTGCAAGAATGCTCAGAGGGTATGCAAGATCAGGTCGTGTGCAGGTCATCAGGTACATGAGGCAGCCAACAAGCTCTGCATACGGACCACTCGACTCTACGGACTCATCCGAAGGCAGAGCTGAGAGTGAGTGGCGAGTAGGCAGAGGAGTGGCCTGAAGCGAGGAGTACGTGAAGCCGAAGCGCTGAAGGACCTGCTGCACCATGTGTGACTGAGTCAAGGTAATGGTGCGGCGTGCTCTGTCCCGAGTGATCTGCAAGCCAAGGTAGCTGCGCAGTTCACCCAGGTCTGTGCACGTGTGTCTCTTCAGCAGCTCAGACTTCACGTAGGCGAGTCCAGCAGTGTCCGCTGTGGCAAAGACCAAGTCGTCGACGTACACGAGGATGTAGAACGGCGGCAGGGAAGTGTCGGTGCGAAGAAACAGCGACGGGTCAGCAGTAGAAGGAGCAAACCCAAGAGCCGCAAGCGTAGTCCTCAATGTGTCGTGCCACTCACGCGGTGCCTGGCGGAGACCGTAGACTGGCCGTCGGAGGCTCCACTGGGTGCCAGGAGGGAAGTCCCAGTGAAGCCAGGTGGACGGCGAAGCCAGATCTCCTCGTGCAGGCTACCCTGCAAGAACGCAGTGCTGAAGTCGAGAGAGTGAAGCTCGTAGTCGCGCTGAGCGGCTATGTGCAGCAGCACCCGAAGAGTAGTCATCTTCGGGGTGGGAGAGAAGGTCTGAAAGTAGTCAACTCCCTGCCGCTGACTGAAGCCACGAGCAACGTACCGTGCCTTGAAGACAGGTGGAGAGCCCGGCGGCCGCTTCACCCTGAAGATCCACATGCCACTGACGATGTTCGCCCCAGGAGGGGGAACCGCGTCAACGTAGGTGCCTGTGGACTTCCAGGAAGCCATCTCTGCATCCATAGCTGCCTGCCAATGAGAGGAGTAAGGACCCTCTACGGCCTCCGCGTAAGAACGCGGAGTCGGGATGTCTAGTGCATCCGGGTCTCCCTCAGGGGAAAGCAGTACAGACGCGAGATGAGGTGAAGCAGCCGCGAGACACTAGAACTCCTCCTGCCTGTCCTCTAGGACGTCCGTGCCAAGAGCACACTCACCCCCGACGGACGGAGGACAGACAGACGCAGACTCAGCAACAAGACTAGCAGCGTAGTCGAGACGACAGCGAGCAGCAAAGTCGACGAGCTCAGCGACAAGAGCAGACGCAGCAGTGGACTCAAAAGAGGGGTCAGTGACGACAGTAGTAAGCAGACGCGTGACACTAGGACTGGCAGCACGAAGAGAGTCCGACTCAGGGTCGGCAAGGGCAGGAAGAGAGGACTCAGGAGGAGAAGGCAAAGGGGGCACGCAGAGGAGCAGTGGACGGACGGAAAGACATCCGGTGCGTGCCAGGGACAGGAGGAGGACGCTGACGCGAACTGCGACCACTAGCGCGAGCAGCCACGAACAGGCGACGCAGGACGAGACGCAGGCTCACGACGCTCAGCAAGACCTCCAGTAGGACCAGTGTAAGGAGAGGAGCAGGCAGTGGAGAGGAAGGCTCCAGCAGGGACTGCGACTGGACAGGCGGTGGACCCTCTACTAGAGGAGAAAGACCAAGAACCTGCTGCAGGAGCGGAACGAAGTACGGCCGAGGCCGCGCAGCAGCCTCCAGACTCAGCAGGGACAGCACCAGCACCCTCAGCGACAGCACCAGCGCCACCCACACCTCCAGCGGCAGGACCAACAGCAGTAGGCTCAGCACCAACGCCCCTCAGCAGCTCCAGCTCCAGGAGGACCCGCAGGTTCCAGCAGCTCCGGGACCGGCAGCACCCGCACCCT